GGTCATCTCTACTTTTTCAAGTGCAAATTTTAATGACAAGATGTTAATGGTCAAGTTATCAGATCCTCTTTTTCATTGGTCTTTTCCTCCCGAAAAAGTTCGTCGCCTTTCAAACCTCCTTTACTCGACTTCCAAGTGAATTTTTAATCCGCACGAATTTAGCAACTCCTATTTACCTTTTTCTTCCTGGTGTTATTTGACAGTTGGATCATATGCACACTCCTCCTCTGATGGATGCTATATACGTAAAAATCAAGACTCCTTTAGAAATCTTTTAAAGATAAATAATGAATTTTTACTTAGTGTTTACCACATCATCAAATTTGATATTTTCTTACTAAAATAGGCCCACCGGAAACCACACTTTCTCCATGGAGAAAAGTGGAAGAATATTTCCTTGTGTTTGAAAATAACCTCAGAAACAGACCTGAGATGGAGCTAAAATAGGCCTACCAACTACACCTTTATACTTAAAATCCTCATCCACCATCTCCTCCTCCTCCATCCATTCGTGATTTACTTAAGGCCAGGTAAGGCAATTCTACCACGAGGGTTAATTACTTAGCACGAGTGTGTGCATTCTATCATCCCCCGTTTTTGGGTGTGGCCCTCTAGTCACGCCGTTGGAACGGAAGTGGTTGGCTAGCTTCAAATTTGACTTTCCATGGCTTCCATAACTTTGAGATGGAGAAAGAGGTGGTAAATATGCTCCCTTGTTCTCACAGGTAGTCTAATCCAAGGCTGAAGGATCTCATCACACGCCTTCTGTAAGATTTGAAATGACCGGATCGGCTAACAAACATGCCAGAAAGAATAACTCGTTTTTGGCGGATGGGTACTGAATTTGTATCCAGAATACCACAAAAAGTTTGTCTTTGTAGTCCCCGAGACTTTCCTGAAGACAAAAGTAGACATAATATTCGGAAAAAAAGGAGAAAAATGTATATATCTTGCATACAGAATGTATTGGGACTACTGGCCAGGCTACCCAGCAAGGTACGGTGGCCAAAATGAGGTGGCCCTTCACCAAAACCGAGAGTTAAACAACCAATATATTGCTTTTTTTGGCCTGCTAACATGAAACACAGTCGCTCATGACAAATAATGTATTATCTTGGATAGATAGTAGCCTTTTAATGAAAGACAGTGTCTGTACTGTGTTTGTATGACATGCTCTTTATGTCGAAGATATTTTAGTAAAAATTCCCAAGGTATTTAATTATCTAAATTTGCAAATTGGCAATGTATGTAATTCATGCGACAGGAAACCTTGCGATGTCTTTGAAAAAACCGCGAAATTTCTAGTGACTTCGAATAGAAATCACCAGTTTTTAGCACAAACAGTAAGTAGCAATTTTATTAAATTTATATTATTTGTTTAAGTAGCATTACTATCTCTCTGAGTTCGAATGAGGTGCGTCGCGTTTAATCCAACAATGTTTCATTGAGATCTTTCTTCAGCATCGTCGATCAATTTGCGAATCTTATTTTGGAAAAGTTGCAACAACAAAGAGAAAAATAAACTGATATTGGTTTAAATTTTACCCTTTCTTACGGATGAAAGTAACCTAAGTTTTTGTATTACATTACTTTCAAAACTTAATATTTTTTTCACAATTAATAATTTGGAATAATCTGGATGGTCTCCGTAATTTCAATGTGGAAATATTTCCGGAGACATGAATGATTTCTCCTATCACGAAAGTTATGGAATTATTCAGCCTACGGAATCGATGCAGTGAGTTTCATCACGGGGTAGAGGGCATCACTGCTACTTTTAACAATGAAGACATGGGTGCTAACAAAGGAAGATGAAAAGTAAATTTATCCGCATTTGATGAATATGGCCTTGTTGGAAAGTCCCATTTATGGATGAAAATACTCCTGATGCACAAATCATGATAACTTATCGAGATGGCGAACAAACAGAATTTAACCGAAAAAGCATTTTAAAGTGCTCAATTTATTCATTTAACGTGCCACCACTACGGTTCATCTTCCCTTCCAGATAAGTAAAGCACCTACTATCGGTTCAACCTTAATGCAATATTTTGTCTTCTAGAAAGAGAACTTCACCCCAGCCGCCTCCGCTTCCTTCTATTTTGTTTGATATTGTCTGCTTGGTGCCAAAAATGGTGATAATTGGCACCTAAGGAATATGGTGAACAGGGAAAAGGCAGCATTGCCAGCTTTCCTATCCTCATGTTCTCATGTGATTTTGCGCTGTTCGTGTAATAGGAAACTTTTTATCTCCCCACTTCACAGGTTTTGGCTGTTGATATTGATAGATTGATGGATGGAATTTACATGAACGACTGATTTTAGTTAGCCAAGCCGAAAACCACACGAATTTCTCTAGTGACTCGATGGTTGCCCCATGATCAGCGGCAGGTATTTTGGTGGTTCAAAATGCAAATAAATGCGGTTTCAATCTTGCCAGAATCCATGCTAAATACCAATGAAGCCCGTCAACGAATCGCAGATCTCTAGAAAACCCCTACATAAACATTTTGGCTAAGGGCCTGAAATTTCGCTACTGTTTCCTTAAAAAAATGTACAACAAGGTGCTTTTCTTCTACGGCTTTGATGCGTGTTAAGCAATCAGAAATTGAAACATCTTTTGCCATGTGATGCGAAATTCAATGTTGGGAGTTGTTTGGTACATACCATGCAACTTGAAAGTCCAAAAGCAAGCTGTAAATATCCACTTGTTATGACTTCTTTGCAAAATGTGTAAAGTAGACTTTTTTAAAGTTACTTTTCAATTGAGTTCTCTACCCCACTATGCTTTCGAGGTTTCGCTCCCCACTCGACTAGACAAGTTCCCTTCCGCCTCTCCACCCTTTGTGTGGAAGTCGTTTTCCACCACAGCCAACTGGTCGTCTTTTACTTATTCACATTTTATGAGTCTTTTGGTGAATTTTTGCCCTTCTCTGCCTGAATATCAAAAAGAGGAAAGACGAATAACTTGCAATTTATTGTTTTGCCCTGGCCCCATAGAATATAATGAATATTTGGGTAATCGAACCCAAAAATAGAAGGTCAAGTACTATATTTTCTAAAAATTTTCCTACAAATTGGTCTATCTTCTCAAGTCTGACTTTAAATTTGCAAAACATTGAAGTTAATTCTTGAAAATAGCCTGAAGTATGCTCAGATAGAGTTAACAGTGTCGTTTAGCAGACCGCAAAAAGCTCATGTTCATCTGAAGTTTTATGGCTAAGACCACGAATTTCCCCTCTGGGGCCTTTACCGTTGTGTTGAATGGTACTATGGCCTTTGTTTTATAGTTCGACGTGGGCGCTTTTGGTGATAAATTGTCCAAAATAGGCACCATATGTACTAATTTATCATATTTCTGATCGAATTGTCCATTTGAATGAGGTGATTGCAAATGTTTGTATTATATTTTAAATGAAAGCCAGGTACTTCCAAGTATTGCCCAATTTACCTACCCCATTCTAATCTTCTTTCGCCAAGTATACTAAATAAGTGGTACATCTGAGGTTGTATTCCTCGCATCTAATCAAAAGGTGCTCCGTATAATCTCACATTATACACATTAATTATGCCATTGTTTTTCCCAAATCTACCTCATCTTAGTTTCAAATGCACAAAAAAAGGAATCACTTGGTAACGTCTAGTTCCAAAAGAATTGATATGATCCGTATTTCTTCCGTTTGCCACCACAAAAAATATAAATGGCGACATTTTAAACAACAGACAGGGCGCCTTAACTACTAAAAAAGGCATTTATCACGACTCGAGATAGTAGGTGCGGGTTTGAAGTTGTGGGTCAAGTTTTATTCCAAAATATGGTCTAGAAGTTTTTTCGTACATTTTTATGGAAAGCGCACTCGATTACTAAGAAAGGAGTTGAAAAAGTTTGTGATGAAAGAACAAATTTTCTCAAAAAAGATGGGTAGCTTTAGCATTAAATTGGGGAGGTGAAACTTCTCCGTTGCATAAAGTGGTACGATGTTTCTTAAAGTAGCATTCAAGCAGCCGGTTAAAGCGAACAACTACTGAAAATCATCCTTACCTACAATGCTTTGTCTCCGTAAGCAAAAAAATTTTATCCAACAATCCTCGCCTCAGCCTCTCTTTTATTTCCTGACCGATCGCCTGTTCCAATTCGTGTGAGGTAGCCTACCTACGATAAAAATACGGTGAAACTTGGCACCTGATAATATATTATCAGAGTACCACAGCGAATGAAAATGAGACAACATTCTCCCCCTCCTCTCTCTCCTTACTTCACTACATGACCAATTAACTGACTGGCTAGCTCAAGAGGAGGCTTCACGATGAAGGTTTGAAGTCTCGCATCGAGCTGCGAAGTCTTATAACAAAAGGACCTCCATTCCACTGATTCACGATGGCTAACTCTCCTGTCTGTTTATAGGAAAGTTCAGGACCTTCTTCTTGTGTGTCCCCCAGTACCTTCGAGGCTTGTGATGAAGGCAGATTATAGGCAGATAAGTAGATTTCGTGAAAGATGGTTGAACGGATACATCTCAGACGCAGTTGATGTTTGGTCCCATTGAATAGAAGCCTCCCAATAATCAACTCCGTCACCAATCAGCTACGTACTACACACAGACACACCGAAAATAGTCTTTTGCATGCCTTTTTCCGTTCACTACGGAATACGCCAGGTCGTTCCTCAAAGCTACACTGAAAAATGCGCTAACACTTAGCTCACCTTATAAACGATAACCTTATAAGAAAACTAGCCACTCTCTCTGACGCTCTCAGAAGCATTCGTGCTAATGAATCACGTTTATTTTATGATGTAAATTAGGAAAATCTATTCTATTTATTGCCATTTTCCTCACAGTGCCACAATTTTTTGGGGTTCGAGTGCAGTTGAAATACTTCCTTTCCTTATCCATAGTTAAAATTTTCTCGAGTGAAAGAGCGCACATTGGTTGGGATTTTAGCAACTGAAGAGTTAACACTGATCCCTACTACCTTAAGAAATTATCTAATGTTCTTCTATGCAGCCGAAAATCCGGACCGTCGGGGGCAGGACTACAACCTCACCACACACGTCAATAACTACAACGGTGACGGCGCAGGTGAATCCCCCCGAAGTTGACCCATACGACGTGTTGCCAGCAGTGATTGAAGTGGCTCCTCCAATTCCGCCTCATTCCAGCAGGATGGATCAGTCAATTTATGCAAACTTTTACGAGAATTATCCACCCGGTGGGGCGCTTGATAGTCGCAACGGATCCCCGTCTTTTCGAAATCCCACTGCCCTGTCTCGGTACATGTCTTCAAAGCCGGAAGAGGGTCCGATCAAATCGGTTTCATTTGCTGCTCCCAAAAGTACTGCTATTACTAACACTGTCAACTCTGCTACGGAGGCGACTAACTCGCATTTAACTGCAGAGTGCAACAGCAAGGATCATCAGGTAAAAACTTTTATGGCGTTTGAGGTCCGGCTTTTTGTCCTTATTCATTCACCCGCATTTACATTTATCCTTCTGTTGCAAGGCATTCAACAGTCCGTCTTCACTAATGACGAATCCAAGTGTAAATTCTCCATAGTGTTGAACAGATATGCTCAGTTTTGACAGATCCAGTTCTTGAGATCTTCTTGTTAACAATAGACTTTGACAGAGCGCATCTGTGCTTAAGTTATATTTTCCAACTACAGCGAGGAAGAGGAACAGATTTACAATCTTACGGACCGTTTATTGATAAAGCATGAACTGGTGCATATTTGTGTGAGGGTGAATACCGCCTTTATCCCAAAGGGTGCGATCAAGAGCTAGGGTTTCAAAAAAAGGACTTCTTTGTTGCTGTCACCAAGTGTACAGCCGGAGCACGGTATCTGCTTGTGCGTTCATTGACTGGAGCGTTCAGTGCCCTTCTGGTCACCATTCCCACGTACTCATAGCGTTATGAATGGCCTTGACCTTACCTTAGTTAGTAGTACATTTGAAGCTCGCCTCCATTTCGTATTGGTCAATTAGGCGGATTCAAAGCGAGTACAAATGGGTGAATGCTCCAAAACGTAAAGAGACTCAAATTCAGGAAAGAAAATCCTAGAACATTTAGAGTGGAATATTCTTCTAAAGCAGTGGGCATCCCAAAACACTTAAAAATTCAGGAAAATCGGAACATTATATTCTAGCAGTACCAATTGAACTTTTGTGCCCCACCACGAGTAACTGGTTCTTTTAAAGTAATTTCTTTATTTTCCCGCAATTCTTACAGTGAAGTTTTTCCTCCCCCCAGTGTTGAGATATTCAATCATTAGTGAGTGGGTTGGATATAATAGATTTGGATGATTTTTTGCAAGTCTGACTATCATCCAAAGCAATCTACCATCTCTCCGTCGCACTTTATTTCAAAATGTATTAATTAAACAAAGGAGTAAGAAAAACATCTTAACTTGATTGATAGCAATGAAGGTGAGATACTCCTAGATGATTATTAGATGTTGAGGTTGCCATTAGAAAATGCTTCTGTTTCATGGATCCCTCATCCAAAAGTAAATAACCCCAAGTTGGACACAAGTTGTCACACTTGGCGTCAAACGCTCTGGAACCTTGCCGTACGACTCCGAAATCTTATATGGTTTACAATTTGAGAAGAGAATCTCTCTGAAGCTAAAGTCATTCCCTCCGCAAGATGATTTTACAGTTCAAAACACCTCTGAAAGTAGCAATCTTTATATCAATGAAAAAGGGTATAAGGCACAAAATTTGATGTTTAGGTGGTTGAATTTTACCAGTACAGCGTGGGTTATCTCAGTTCAAAGTAAAGTCCGGCAGATGATTAAAGGAAAAGCTTGGCATTTTACCTCAAACTAGAGGCGATGGAGTGATGCAAACCTTTTCAAAAATCCACTTTCTAATAGATAAACTCAACATTTCTTTTAAGCTGCTCAAACAATACTTTATTAAAGTGGTGGAAGTAGAACACTTAGCTGTGGTAACTTACCTACCCGCTTTGCTTACAAATACGGAAGGATGCATTTCGAAAGGGTGGGCGACTTATTTTGAGACAATTCTTTAATAATAATATTGCCTGGTGGACTGGCATTCAGGTGGAAATCACCTAAAGGAAATCTATTCCTTTCCTCTGTTTAAATATATGCAGATTAATTTTCCCACTTCTAAATGGCTCACTGCTTAAACTTTTTTGTGTACAGTGGATTCCCTTACGACAATGAGGTGGCATGGAGAGTTGGTCAACGAAGGTACACATTTTTTTACTGTATTCACTTGAGATGTGGTTTACAAGGAGAATTTTAAACTACCTTACTCTAGAAGGTCTGCTACGTGACTGCAGCGCAAAAGCTAGTGCTTATTTCCTTTACGTTTCTGAGCTTTAAAATCACGTGATACACCACTTTATATAGCACGCATTTTATTTGATAACAGGCTGCATAAAATTTCGTTACAATGGGCACTGCAAATAGTACGACCGTAAAGTCATCTTATGCTACTTGTATAGTTTGACTGATAGGGTGTGTACACACGCTGATCGCTCCACTTAATGCCAATTTCCTGTTTGTAAAAACTTGAGGTAATGCATTTACCCCATCTTGCCGGCCATTTTGAAGTATTTTCGGTAAAAAGGAGCTTATTATTCCTAAACAAAGTAGACCGATCCTTTTCCCGTGTTTGGTACGAATAAACACGTCAACTTACCCTATCACTTGCTGATCTTTAAAATCTGTGCTCAAATAACATTATTAACTAGGGCATTACAATTTAAAAGCTCATCAGCTAACTTTCCCCCGAATTGTTTCTTGATGTTTTTTTAACTTAGCTGTAGATTGAGTTTTTGTGTCTTAATCATCAATTCTTTTTATAGTTTTACGAGTTTGAGGATTGCCGGTTTATAAACAAACTTCAAACAGTAACGCATATCTTATTTTTGAATGTTTACTGCAACCTCCAATCCTTAAAAGCATATTCTAGGTTTTGAAGTATCCTCCTCCAAAATTAAAGTTTGTCACTTTTGCGGGAAAAAGTGAAAGGCACTGTTGATGGGCAATTGACATCCAGTTACAGGCCGGTAATAGAACCGCCTGGAGTATGAATGAAAAGTGGACTGTAGCACTTAAAGTCAGTGCATTTTGGAACAGGCGAGTGTAGTGTGGCGAGCTGAAGTGTTTTATTCGACATGAAATAAAATACGCGTCTAACAGGAAGCGACGTCGACTGAAAATAATTGAGTGCTAATGGCATCCGATGCCTGATTGCTGGGCTTTTTACTTCCCGCCTTTAACTAATAGGCAAAAATATGCGTACACATTGCTGATGCAGTATCCACTATCTCTGTATTTTTCGTTTTATGGTCAAACCTGAGCCATTTGCTTTTCCATGAGCTTGTAATTACAAAATAATTGACCCGAATTCATGTTTTAATCTAACAGCTAAGGATTTCCTTTATCTCCAAATGCAAACGCCTAAAATTTTTATGGCTTGTTAAAAAGTGATAGGCAGTGTTCAGTTGGAAGCTCAATTGCCCAGCAGTTTTATTATGTGTTTTTGGCAATATATGTTTTCCGCTGTTAATAAGTGACCGGATCACCACAAATAAGCAATGATTTTAAGGTCACTTAAAGGTTAATGGTAGGTAAATAAAGTGAAATTGCGGGTATTGGTGCTCAATAGTCGCATACGCCCCATATAATAAAATGCCATCAGGGTAAAATGTGACCCAGACCCAATTAAATAGCCTCAAGTTGCACTCCTTGCCTTTTCCGGTATACAGGGTTTAATATTTGCCCAGATACGTAGAATTAGTACACATGTGTAGGATAAATAAGTAGTGATACGTCTTCCTTATACATTCAAGGGTCTTCAAAATGAACAATTAGAGTAGATGATGAGCATTTTTCTCAGACTATGTCAAAAGGGTGTGCAGTACTCAAAGAACCCTGAAGCAATATATTGTCATAACTTGTACAATGCGTGCAAATGGTTAGTTGCATTACAGATCATAGAATGACGGTACGGAACATCGTACTCCTCATCCCTCTACTTCCTTCTAAATACCCATTCCACAGCTTGTCTGCATTGTGAACTGAGTTTGGCCCGGTCACAAAGATGCAACAAAGATACATGACATTTAGAGGTGCAGCATGCGGTAACGAAACCTAACATCTACAAATTGTTTGCGTTTTTTTATCCCTGTAGTAGATTACTTGGGGAGGATGCAGCACACTGGGGAGACATCTTTCCTCTCTCCGATCGTGGCAAAGCCGTTTTGAATAGGTTGAGGGCAATGGGATGAAGACAAGATGTGCCAGTGTCTAATGTGAGTGGTGTTGAGGGGGTGCGCTTGCGCCTGCATTGACTGGAAGTGGAAGTTTGTGGAAGCAACTAGGTGAAGAAATGCCACATCGTCTGTTAACAGATGCAAATAAGTTTTGGGGACTGCGAATTAGGTGTTCACATTCATCACGCATGAGTGTCATAAAGACAAGGCGCCAGTTTTTTACTGTTCACCGACTGCCTTGTGGTGCGAAGTGGTTGCCGTGTTGGTGCGTCAAGTGAACCAACCTATAAGTGGTGCTTGCCAAACCACTGAATTATGCACAGTGCTTCATCGCCGGAAGACTGTGCTCCCTTTCTGTATGTGCGTGGCTAATTGGCGACAGAATTGATCACCGGGAGGTTTTGACTCATTGATGACCAAACAATCGCTACGTCTGAGATTTATCCATCCACCTTTTCCGCACCCCATTTATTTGTCCATTTACTTACCTTCACCACAGACCTCGAGGGTACTGGGAAGTATACAGGATGGCGATCCTGAGCTTCGTTAAAAGCAGACAGGATGTCCTTTTATTATAAGACTTTGCGAATTGATGCGAGAATTTATGTCCCATTGTAAAGACTTCTCTTGAGTTAGTTGGACAGTTGATTAGTTATTTAGTAGTTTGGAGGAAGAAGGGAAGGAAGGAATTGGAACGAGGGGATATTTCCCCATGCTCATTCTTCGTGTCTCACTGATGATATTTCTCCAGGTGCTAACTATTACTGCTCCATGGTGTTAGGTAGTCATACACACACGAAAATAAAGGTGTAGCAAGAATGGTTAAGTCTGTGCAATTTTGGGGTTATGTTCACAAGGCACGGTAGATTTTTTTGCCTTATCGTGTAGAGGCGGTGGATTTTGATGATGTATTAAGCTCTATTAAGTTGCTTACAATTTTCTAGAAATAAACTTTTATTAATTTCACAACTTTTTGCAGGTACACAATCTTCATTTGCTTATCCTACAGTAGCAGCACCTTCACCATGTAAGACTATTCCCAAGTTGGAGAAATATCTGCGTTAAAATATTTGTGAAATCCTGACAACGAATGCACCTTTGTCCCTTTCTGTCACCATGGAGATATTGGGATTCCCAAAGTTAATTTGGTTTTGAATTTTCGCCTTCTCAACTCATGACATATGTGATACTTTCTTCAGGTCCTTTCTTCAGAAAACCACATTTTTGACTTCGCATATTTTAAAATCGTCACCAGTAAAGTTGATGAAATGGCACTCGATTTTTACCTTGCATTTCGTGCAAGTAAAGTGATTTGCATCAATTTAGGCAGCACGAGATGATACTTGTCATAAGTCCTGTCAAATTAAAGTTTAATCACGAAAATTTGTGGCTTGTAAAAACTGCTGTTAGTCATTTATTTTCACAAGGGCAATATTTTAACAGCTAATTTTTTGGACAAGCTGCATGTAATGAGCAAATTCTGAAGTGAAAAAAGCCAAATCCTTGTGTTTTTATCTTAGTGCTTAGGAGTGTCAGGGAAGATACACTCATACAATTGTCTGCATCGGCTACAATTTGTCCTCTGGACATACTCTCACCAAGGAGAGGCAGTCTGATGACATGTCGGGTAGTCATTGTTACCTAAAAGCAGATGGTGCATTAATTTTCTTATGTTAGCACCTCGACCGCCCAAAAATTCACCAAAAAACCGTTTCTACTTATAAAGCTGATTATTTCTCCTGAAAAGCTGTCGGATCTCCAAAATTTTGCCCATTTGTTTTGAAGATTTATTAATACAGGAAAACTACGTGATCTTAAAGTGCCTCTCTTGCTCTTTCTCCCCTCCCCGATTATTATCGCCCCTCCAAACCCATTTTTGCATTTGCTTGCGCGCTTTGGCATGTATGCAACTATTTATCAGTGCACCCAGAAATCCTATCTATCAGTGCGCTTTCCCTACAGCATTTGCAATTTCAGTGCTCTGTCCTTCCCTCCTCCCGCCTCCTCCCAAAACACTCATATCTACTTGGAAGCACAGTCCACTTTCCACATAGAAACTGCTTGCATCTCCATTCATATATATGCGCATGTTCCTTCCTTTTGATTCCGGTTTTTAACTGTTGCTGCGGACCTGGATGTCTTACAGTGATGTCCTCCAATTAACGGAATGGTATGAATGCCTAGAAGTGTATTTTTGTTTCAAATTGTAAACAAAGACGCCTTCCGACTATCGGAACTTGGAAGATAGATGGGGAACTTGAAGTGTTAAGCACTTGAAAGGAACGAATGTATTTGCTATAGTCCTATTCACTGGCATACCTGAAAAAGTATATGCACACTTAGTTGATTTTCAGAGGCAAATTTGTAAATAGAGGGTAAATACCTTCGCAAGTCAGTCTGGTTCCATAAATAAATAAATAATGCAAAATTACGGCATAATTTAGCTGACTGTATCGTTAGCAGCAAGTAGAACTGTCAACGTCAGTCTTACCTTAATGAGGAGTAATTAGCAGACATGGTTGATTTGAGGGAACGAATTGACACTTTTCAAACATTTTTTTTCTAAAACTTCCTTAAAGTTAGGAATGTGATAACTTTGCCTGAAACAAAGAGAAAAAGGTAAATATGGCGTGTCAAAATTCTATAGATCAACACTGATATGAAAGCAGGTGTTGATTGCGCCTTAAAAAGTAATTAACCATTATTTCGACAAAGAGGAAAAGACGAATTTACTCCAAAAGTACGGAAACGTAATTGGTTTAATCGGATAAGCGCCCTTTTATGTCAGTAAAGTCTCCGAAATAGCATTACGATAACAATAATATGGTCTGTGTATATCGGAAGCGAATGCCACGCCCAATCTCTGGCATTCGCCTTGACTGCTATCGGCAATTATTTGCAGAGCTATGAAATGTTCCGCTTCGGTGTTGGAAGCCCTTTTTAGTTCTTGAGCCCTTTAATACCGTGTCAAGTCGATCCTCCCTAGCATTTGTCTCTCTTGCCTAATTACCATAAAGGAAAAAGTCGTCAGTCAAAAAATCGAAAACCAACTCTTTGCACAGGTTAATTCTCCTTCAAAATAAATTTTACTATCTAGACAACCGTTTTGATTACCGTATTGTTTACAGTAAGATCTGGTTCTCATATACGAATGGGTACGAAATGAATTTGAAAATTTTGCAGGTACACTAGTTATCCCCTTCCTCTAGTGGGAAGTTCGAAATTTAAGGTACTTTAAATGCCTTCTTTTAGCAAATGTCATGGATACATGAACCCAAAGCAGTCACCTGTTGGTAGTTTCGTATGGGACTTAAATAGCTGCCCACTGTTTCTTAAAGTATCACCTTCAAAATCTACCTTCCCATTCCCAGAAGTCAAACACCTACCGCAAACCACTCTTTTCTACTGCTTTGACTGCTTAAACGAAAAGCCTCCCCATACTTTCCTCCATTTTTACCCCACTTTTACTTTTCAACTGACTGTCCGTTCTGTTTCTCTTGTGTTTGACTACCTGCTGCCAAAAATGGTGGTGGTACCTAGAGAAATATGATTGGAGTAGTGCGAAGAATGAGGTAGTGGCTCCTCTCTTTACCCTTTTCTTCCTATCCTAACCAATGTACATAATCCCTCGTTAGTGAGTTTTGTGGTTTGGAGTGTGAAGTCTTGCACTGAGTTGTGAAGCCTTTCAGGAGAGGGACCTCCTTCCACTGTATTTACCAGTTCCTGCTCTTTGATAAACCAATTAGAGTTCTCTTGCTGATCTTCCAGTACTTTTGAGCTTTGTGCCGTAGATATATAGATTGACACACAACTGCAGTCACTGTTTGGGTCTCATCGAAATAGCACCTCCCAGTGATCAACTCCGTCACCAGTCATCTAAGCACTGCACACAGAAAGAAGTGCATTGTGTGAATCAAGTGCTGCGAGAGCCGGAGCTGGACAAAATTCAATGGTTTAGCCGTCACATATCATATGTTGGATCGCTTAGCGTGCTAACACGCTGTTTCGTATCACAAAGCTGTGAAAAGATTGCCGAGCCTCCTGGTAACTATTCATCGTAAACAAAATTGGCTATCTCGTTTTTGTGCAACAACAGTGAAAATTGCATACCTTTCTCACATCAAAAGTGAATACTGATGTTAATCATAATATTTTACGCATAGACATCCCTTTTCATTGAATACCTCTTTACTCTTCTTTTCTTATGGAAAAACAGGCTTCTGGAAAAGAATTTTCGAGCTACAGAGTTATCGCGTAGGCCACTGCATAATGCATGAATTCCCAATTAACAGTCTTACGATAGGAAAGAAATCTTTAAGACTGGAATTCTATTCTGTTTGGTGCGAATTTTACGTGGTGTTTTGTTGGTTTTTATAAACAACAACGGGAAAATATTTGCCATCCGAAAAGTCTGCTAAACCTTGGAACTTGGTATTCATAGGATATTTGAGGAAGGAAAGGAATCAAAAAAGCATGCTCTTTTAAAGCAGAATGATTATTATAAAAAGATGACTTGTGGCATTTTGCTTCGATAGTCCATGTGTGAAGGAAAGCATAAAGCATTCGGCTAGGCAGATTAAAAATCTTGACGGAGGAAACTCCCTGTTCAAAAATACCGGACATTGAGGAGGGCCTGAAAAAATTCCACATGATCAGCTAGACACTTGAAATGTGAAGAAAGAGGTAAATATCCAACACTTTATGCATTTCAGCCAGGCGGAGGTGGGTGGAGGGGGAAGTAGGGTGCTAGAGTCGCTAAATGGACACAAACTATTAATTCTCTTCGAAGTCCAACCAGGGATTTTCTTGGATGCAAGATCTCGCATGATTGAAAAATGAAAGTTTGCTTCCGTGGGTTGCTTCAACCAACGTCTGAAATCAGTGTGCATGAGCTTTTCCGTACTCGAGTCAGATTTTTCAGTTAGTGTATTCCCAATCAACAAATATTTTGTTAATTTTTTGGCTGTCCTATTTTTTAGATTTTTCACTTATTGCGCTTTTTCGTGACCCTATGTTCGTATTTTTGTCCTGACAGTGCAAAATTTTTAAGGTTTTCTGAGAAAAAAGTGATATTTTTACCCCTTTTTAAAACCCTTTTTTTATTTGACTAATTTTACAGTCCTCAGAGATCCTCACAGCCTTAATAAGGTATTCCAGTATGTGTAAGTATAGTTTTTTGTTAGTGTATGCTCAGCAGGCCATTTCTCGAAATGGAAACATCAACAGGCCCGCATAATTTTGTGTACATTAACACAAAGAGTATGTCGCTGCAATTTGACTCGGATTTGTACGGAAAAAAATATCTGCATAAAAGTGAACTACTGAAGTGATAAGTCCGGTTAAAAGCCTCACGAAGTATGTCATTTCAAAATTCATTTTTCTTTTTAAAATGGTGACTTTGTTTCAAAGCGAATTGAAGCCCCTTTCCGCCTATACGTCTGCTTAAATCGCATAGGTTCAAACAATTTCTCCTCAGTGGATACATGGTCAATGTTCCTTTCAATGTTTTCAAGATATCCAGGTAACGAGGTAACTTGTTTATCAAACTATCCACTAAACACAATGAGTTTTCGTTCAAAACGCGAAACATTCTTTGCCACTTGACCACTGGTAAAAACCTATTAAGTAAACCGTTCTCTTCATGAAGTTAAACTCCTTGGAATATTTTCTACTTGGACCCTCTGTCAGTGCTTCTAATGTCGTATACATTATGAAAAATGTTAATTTACCTTGAAGTTGGGAAAAAGGACTGGCATTTATATGCAAGGACGGTGAAGTGTTAAGCAGGATTTTCAAAAAATAACTCGACTGTGACCTTTGAAAACAAGTTCTAATAAAGCAGTCATGTATTGGACCACAATTACCAACCCCTTGATCAATCGATCACGAAATGCTGCCGGTTATTTAAAGCAAAATAAATAACTTCTTGCCCTTTTCAAAGGACCCAAAATTGGCTATACTACTGCACATGAACTCAACAAACAATTCTAAAATCCCCGATAATGCTCACATTAAATCTATTTTTGGATAAAATATGCGGGGCGATTTTGGCATGCATTGAAGTTGCTGGTGAGATTGTGTCTATCAATAAAATTTGCCCACTTTTTTTAGGATACACATTCTTCCGAAAGCATTCCAAAACGATCAGTGAAGCGATCTGGTCTCAGCTCAGTTGCTCAGGCGAGCAAACACTCAGTCCGTTTCGTAGATCCTGCTCCTCCCGAAGCTGATGCGAGCAATCGTTGCCGAGACTCCACCTGCATGAATATTGTCGCTGAAGATAAACTTCCCTCTGATCCTCCTCAGCGTCTTACGGTCTGTTCTGGCCATCATGAGGAGGTAAGACTTAGCCCTGACCCAACAGATCCACCTAGTTCGACTGTGAATATGGAAAATGGACCTTTGTCAAACCTTCTCACAGTTCCACCCACGTTCAGACTGACTCGGTCCACATCAGCGCCCCTTTCCGCTCGATTTTCCAGACCTGCCACTTCTTTTTCCAGTTGGCAACAGACCCATTCGCGAATAGAACTCCTAATCAACGAAGCTCTTGCTTCAATGGAAAGATTTGAAAAGGGTGGATCCACACAGACTCTGATCCAGAAGATGTGCAATTTCGAACAGGGTCTTTCAGCAGAGTTATTACATTTGGAGCAACTTTGTGATACATTTAATAGCGATGACCTGGTTTTGAATGATTTTCTTCAACAAGAGAGACAAAAGATTGCTAGATTGCGTGATGGACGTCTTCTGCAAGATTTTCAGCGACTTAAAGAGCCAAACCCTGAAAAAGGATTCAATGCGTTGGCTTTCTCATTAGAACAGATTTCGTTGTCCACCCAAGCCATTATTGATACCGTCCAGTTAAACCGGTTTGATTGCGCTGACATCGAACACTCAAGACGTGGTCAGCATATGGAAGACAACTTCGGCTCTCTATCTGTCAGTGATCGAGAAGATAGCGCCACAACTAGCTTAGATTCCAACGATCCCACCGATCTGTCTGGACTTTTGCACGTCTATGCTGCACAATTCCATTCTCACACCCTCCTGGTTCGAGGAACAGCTGAGGAATTTCTTGGCTGTCTTCGGTGCAAAGTAAATGAACCTAGAACTGTGAGAGGCTACCGCCTTCCAACGGCGGGCGTGCTAATCGCAAATGCGAAATTCCTCCTCCGATGCTCAAGCCAACTGGTCAGCCTTGCGGCTAACCTTTCAGCAGCTCTACAGAGCCTTCCTCCCTCCGAAGTTTCCAACTCTGCACCAGACATCGAGAAGCTTAGAAGTGGCCTTGAAGCATCTGGAAATGCAGTATGTGAGGCGCTAAAGGGTTTGATAGCACAAACAAAGGACGTGGCCGGTTGCCTGACCTCACCTAGTCTAGATTTGCCTACAACAGCCACCACACTGGCATCAAAACCAGTGGTGGTATTGGGTCCAGAGATGGAGCGTCTAGTGGGTGCTGTTCAGGACGTGGTGGCGACGACAGAGGGCCTTCGACAAACGGTTGCTAATTCTTCTGCCCTCCGAAATAGTGTCAGCTCTGTAGAACGCTGATGACCGCGAGGCCATTCCATCCCACCTGCCGTTCATTCATCTAACACCATTTAGCCGTCCGCGAAAATTGTCCGACTGTTGATGTGTGTATGTGTGAATCAGTCGATTACCTATTTTTTCTAAGTTGATGCCCTCTTCCTACCTTCTATTCACTGGAAGACAGATATGTACAAATATGTGTTGTATATAAATAAAACAAATCCTCATTATTCCATCTATTTAATGCCCAAGCTTGCATTAGAAATCCCAAAGAATATCGCGTTAATTTTTGGTTCATCGCATCATGGAGGGAATGAGCTTCTTTTTTCATTCATCAGATGGTATTGATGCGGGTCTTGGTATTTATGGGTTTTTCATCCACCAACATCCAAATCAGTGAAAATATCCTTAAGTCGTCATCACTTCTCGCTGTTTCCTACATCCCATCTTACTTAATACACAGCCTTTCAGAGTTTCTAATCACTTTTTGAAAAAAGTTAGTGTATAGAATGAAGGATTTGCCTGAATGTGCTCTAAGACGAGTAACTCTCTCGACTCCATGCTCTTGTAGCTAATCAGTTTGTTTTTGTAAGCAAATCACATTGCATTAACGTAGTGCCTTGACAACAGGTTCCACATTATGCTAGATGTCCTAGCTTTAAGAATAAAAGTTTTGTTTTTAAAAAACACTTTGAAATGGTAGCTCTTAGTCAGGTGGACTAAACGAGAACCTCTCCATCTGCAAATTGTGGTGGCATATGCATTCGGCTGTTTTTCTCGCACCAGTTTCCATATGTTCGTGAAATTAAGCAACAGAAAACAGATCTTACAAAATCTCTGAAATTTTTTTACTTTTTCTGTTAGTTCAGGTCCATTTACTGCCAAAAATATCCATTTTCTAGAAGCAAATTATCCAGTGCACTCTCAACTTTAGATACAAATTTAACTATCTGTAGACACCTCTGAGTGGCGTTGAGGTCCTGCCAGCACATTTAACCAGAAAATTTATAAAAATGGAGGAATGTGTCAAGTTATGTCTATTATGGATACAAACACATCAGAGGTCGGGTTCGACTAGAACACCGGTCTTTGTTTAGTTGACTAGCTGGTTTACCTTATTCTGGGGAAAAGCGTGTTAAAAGTGAATTTAAAAGTCTTAATGTTAATTCTTTTCTTCGAATCTACCTCCCAGTATTACGCTATCACTTGCTTAAGAAATGCTTAAAACAGCTTAAATGACTTTTCAGTTCTGTGAATAGAAGGCGCGAGATCAGACTGCTTGCAAGGCACGAATTCATTTAATAAAAGAAATTGTCTATTTAAATGTGAAAGTTACTGCCCGATGCTGACCTAATTCATGAGGCAAAAGTAGTAGTACTCAGTAGTGTGAAAAGTTTTATTTTTAATGGCAGCATCTATTTACAAAACTCCCAAGATCTACCATTTGGGAAACTTTTGATGCATTGGAAGACAAAAAGAGACAAAAAGCAGTTCATCTTTGGGGTCTTATGAGCATCCTTTCTCAAAATGATGGAAGAAATGCAGAATAGGGGGAATTTTTTCCTTCTGCCAACTTGAATTAGCAGGGAGCAATGTGCATCCTCTTTAGTTGGCTTTATGCTCACTGCCTACATGCTAATTAGACTTTCTGCATGGGCAGTAATTCATGCACATTCTCCATGCATATGATATAGTTGACACGGTTCATGCAAATCACCAAAGCGAACGGTTTAATCCGCCTTATATATCACTCACTTTCTTACTGCTTTAATTTACGAACTGGATCATTAGTATCTCCAGCCACTCTTTCGAGGGACCTTCAATGTCCTACTGAAGTACTGCATTATGTCTACACATAGAGGCTGCTTTTAATCCACTTTACCAGTTGTTTCAAGACTTTAGCTACATTTTTAAATAATCACATGAGTGTGTACTTTACTGGGATTAGATTGACTTTTCCCATTAAAAAATTTGGTTATTTTGTTAATTTCTCGTATGTTTCCGGGAGACAGAGCCTTTTATTATGTAATTTTGCCTTTGGAATGGTATGAATTACCCTAACATTTCGGAACAGCAATCCTCCGAATTTTCTTACTTACTTCTAAATATAAGGAGTGATTTTAGATATTTTGTTCTTTTAATAAACGAATGCATATTTTAAATTGGACTGCCCACTATCAACGGGCACCAAAAGAATGCAGATCGAACCACTCGACATGGATCTGCCTATAAGCATCACTACACCTCTACTGTATCTTTCCCATTCGGATGCAACTAAATATACCACCTATCAACGTTAAACATTTTTAAATTACCTCTCACATTGGTCTTGGGAGTCCCTTAAACGGAGGCAATGTCTCAGGCCCCTTGAAAAAACCTTATTTATGGTGGGACGCATTGTTTGGGGTGCATCTACATGATAAAGTATCTGGAGCCTAATTCAGACAGAATAATTTATTTGTCAAGTCCAAACATACCTTCTGAATTCTTGGCATATTTGAAATAGCTTAACCCTAAATATTGAGTACTTACGTCTGGGATAAAAAATATTCTTCATTTGTGTTAAAAGCCTCCTTTGCCTTCCAATTTTCAACTACGTCATGCTCAGTTTTATTCATTTTAAGAATAAACGTATTCTTATATAGTCTTTTTGGCATAAATCTTTAACCCTTTTTCATGACAGTGGCAGAAAACCAAGCTTATTTCCATGACATGTTCTGTCTCACATTTAAGGTGCGTTCGATGGAATTTAATAAAATTAACATCAGTAGCTTTGGCAAAAAACAGTTGCATCACAGACTAATTTGGCAGTGAACTGTATGACTCCGTGGCAACCTGGAGTCTGTATTTATAACAATAAATAATTCCTCTAGCATCTTTTCCCCCATTTAGCCGGCTATTTCACAGTATTAGCGGTAAATGTCACATCAACTTTATGCGGCATTTATAATGGGTACTTTGCTTTCGTAAAATATGTTCTTTGCAAGATTCTGTTAGCATTAATTTAAAAAGGTGGGCGTTATGTGGAAGTTAGGGCATTTTTGTCTATTGCTAAAATATGTCGAAAAGTAAATGGGCCATTTAACAACATATTTAATTAAGCATCATTTTTCACTATATCAAAGGTCTACGACGTCTCGGCCAATGGCCTTCTAGTACCTGACCAAAGTTGCTTTGGTGGGCATTTAGCCAGTCACTTTGATCAACCAATAAGGTTTCGTGATCATGACCAATCGCAGCTTAGTAAATTATGTATTCACTAGACGGCCAATTCCGCTAGATTAAAATTAGCGTTATTTTTTGTAATGAGTCTCTCAATTTTGTCCTTTTTGCCGCCTTTTTCTTGTTTTCAAGCTATGATAGCTGGTAGTTGTTTTGTTTGAACCTGCTGTTATCCCTGCAGGAATGCCAGTATTTCGATTTTGCGATATTTTGATGCAAACGACATCCAGTTTAGATGACACATAAAAGCATATTAAAAAGGTTCGGTAAATGCTGTTTAACTACTACACTGCTAAATATATTACCATGTGAATGCTGCAGAAAGAAATTTAGGGTAATAGTACAGGTTGTTCTCGGTGAACTAATTTGTAAATGGGCAAACAGCTTGTACAACAGAGGAAGATTTCCTAAAGATTACCTCAGCTTCTAATAAAACCTACTTGGTACAGTTTTGATTGTGTAAGGAAAGTCAAGGGCTAGGCAACGTATCTAGAGTAAAAGTGTTTAAACAGCGTCGTGTTCCTGTGTACATCCATTCAGCCGTTCATGAGCCAACTTTTGGATATTAAGGTGTTGTTCGTCGGTCACTTAATTCAAAGACAACTCTTAGATAATAATCATAATCGGTCGGCATGATTCAATCCAAACTACTACACAACAGAGTGTATGCTTTAGGGCACTTATGCTACAAGGTATCGCCTTGTGTCCTCAATATTAATTTCATTTAGATGCACTCCTTCACAATATTTTGTTGGATTTCTCATTAAGGAACAAAGAACAGCCAGAGCTCGCTCATTCTATTCGCTTGAAATAAAATAAGTCTCTCTAACTATAAAGACGACAAAGTTTTAAGGGGTAACCCAGATTATGTATTAGTGACAGCGCTGCTGTCTCTATCACTGAGACATAAATGAAGGCCTATTAATAAATGAAAGCGGTGGGAAGTGGATTCTGTTCGGAGGTAATAAAAGAGTCGGGGATTTGAAATCTACTTTTTGATAACGACTTTTAGTATGGGTTACTGGACCGACACTGGGAACAGGGAGAGACGTAAACGGAAGCATCAAAAGTTTGCGAAAAAATATTGTTCCAAATTTCGTTAGTAATTTTGGAAATCTTATCATCTCAAACGCATCAGGCAAAGTAACCAGCATTACACTCTACCTTTCCTAAATAGTGTTCCCATTTTTACTTAACGCTATTTCTGAAACCAAAAGCCCTTTCTGTGTCACTTTTATTTCCTCTTCATCCAATCTTTCAAGTGATTGCCTGTCTAGCACGAGGAAATGGTGATTATTGCCACTTAGACATAGATATTAAGAGGAATACAGCGATTAACTATTAGGTGGTATATCCCCTTCACCTATTCTAACTAACGTACGAATTTATCAACAGGTTTGCTTAGCAGAATGAGACGTGGTGCCTTGCGTTGCATTGCGTCGGGTGATTTTCAAGAAATAAGCCTTTTTGCCGCATGATTAATCAGTTCTGGCTGTGTATGAAGAGGTCAGTTTTTGGGAAAGCCTCAAGTTTTACCTCAGTATTTGGTAGCGACCAAAGGCAGCCAAAAATACTTGACCTTCAACAAGAAATAAGAAATAATGTCTTCTGTCTGCAGTGCACCACACACGTACAATGCAGTCCTTAGTAAATGAGGCAGGGTGCGTTTTAGAAACGCGGAGTGGGCAGTGAGTGGATCATTTTAGACTAACCAGAGGTGTGAAACGCAAAACCCATTTCTCATTACAAGCAAATCATTCAGCACGGTCTTGAAGGATGAAGTAAATAAGGAAATGGTAGTCATTGAGGATTATTGCCATCAGGTGATGCATGATATGCGGCGCCCATTTATTTGGTAGCTTTAGCCTCAACTTTCTCAGTCGGTGCGGATACAGATCAACCGTTCTATCATCAACCATGTCAGGTGTTACGCCAAGGTTTTCTGGCACGTTAAGCTCAAATTACACTCTATTAACAGGGACACACGGATTCGTATTGGCTAGCTTGGAGCGCCTTCTTCTTCCTTCCTTGTTGACACTTCTACTGACACACGGGAAAATTTTATTTAACTCACTGAAAAGTTTTTAACAATGCATAATTTCATCGAAAACGTTGCAAAGACTAAAAACAACTGTTCAACACAGGGCTTCTCATTGCTTTTTTCCCTAGAATGCAGCACAAACAAGCTATTCCCGGTATTCCATGAGAACAAGTGTCCACTAGCAGGCTTACCACAGTTTGCTTTGCTGGAAAAATACGCTAGTTAAGTCAGCATTTTAAAAGAGGAAATGAAAGGTTAGTCAAACATCGCAAAATCTGGGAGGACTTTGAATGCCTAAAGGATTTAGTGTTAACGGCAAAAAAAAACAATAGCCTAAAAAAATGGAAAAATGAATCTAGCTCTATAAACACAATTCTGCAAAGGCAAAATCTGTTGCAAATGGAGAGATTTGTTGAAGTTTGATTATGCACTTGGGCAAAATGATTGCTGTAAGGCGGCCAATATATTTCAAGAGAAAGAAAACTATATATGTGGGAATATGAAAAATTCATAGTTTGCTCTTTGAGAGACAAATTAATGCATTTGACAAATGTAAGTATTTTCTAATATAACAGTCATTGTGAATTCCAGCAACTGGTAAAATTTGTGATGTTTTTGCCCCATTGTCTAAAAATTTGATTCTTTTGCTCATTTTGAGGAAGTCAAGATGATGGTAGCTACTGTATAGAGTTGGAAAAAATAACGTTAAAGAAGTGCCCTTTTCTTTGGGGCTTCAGATTAAAAACCAGTGTGCGGGCTGAGTATAAATTATTTCACTCGACTTATTTGTTCTGTATCAGCCCTATGTCTGGACAAGGTAAATGTTTTAATAAGATTTTAATAAGCGCGTTTTTGATACTGTGTTCGTTTTTGTATTCGACGATTTTTAATAATATGACACAACCCGTCTTCGTTTATTACAAAAAAGAGTAATTTTGGATTAGAAATTATTTAATCTTGGAGATATATTGCCATTATCTCAAGCTTTATCGTTAGAATTACGGGAAATCTGTATGCAAATTTAAAACGCATTTCTCATCTCTGAGTGGTTCATGCGCCTTTTACGCTTTATGTCTGTCGATTTCCCCCGCCTTCAGATATTTGCATTAGTTTGTGTAAAGGTAATTGCTTTTAAACATATTGTTTATAGTTGCGACGTTAGTGAGTTTCATAAGTGGTGTTGCTCGAGGTACGTTGCTACCCATGTCTGTGATACGTCTCCTTCATCATTGTAGGCAGAAAATGGGCATTCTCGATAAGATTGCAGAAATTGAGCGTGAAATCGCACGTACACAGAAAAATAAAGCCACAGAGTATCACTTAGGTCTTTTAAAGGCCAAATTGGCCAAATACCGAGCTGAGTTGTTAAAACCCGTTGATAAGTCGCAGAAGGGCGAAGGTTTCGACGTTCTCAAGTCGGGAGATGCACGTGTTGCTCTTATTGGCTTTCCGTCAGTGGGAAAATCGACTCTTCTGAACGCTCTGACCTCTGCAAATAGCGAATGTGCTGCCTATGAGTTTACTACACTCACTTGTGTCCCAGGTGTGATTGAGGTAGACTTTCGTTGTTTCTCCTGAGAGCATGATTTAGTATGAGGGAGCCAAGATACAATTGCTAGATCTACCTGGTATCGTCGAGGGAGCTGCTCAAGGCAAGGGTCGTGGTCGTCAGGTGATTGCAGTGGCTAGAACTGCTGATCTCGTGCTCATGATGGTCGATGCTACGAAACCCCTCATTCAACGGTTTGTTGCATTCTCGTTTAGATGTTTTACTCGGTCTCATGTTTTAATACATCGTTGCGAAATTTACCCATTTTTTCACTCCTCTTCTAAAAACGGCTTCCCGTTAGTGCAACTCTGGTGCTTTTTTCTATTTGTTCGTTTTTTTTTTTTTCTAGAGTACACTGCCCTTCGCATTGTTGTTTATAAGATTAGGTCTTGTCAGTTCTTTTGCTTGTTCCTGGTCTGACAGACAATCATTTTCCTTCACTTATATAAAGTTTGTAAGTTTAACAAACGGCAAGGGTTACCATATTCGTTGTTAGTATGGAGTACCTATAGCTTAAGTCGACTGTATGAATGATTGTTCGTTTCTTTGCTTTCACTTCAGGGTGAGCATGAAACTGCTTGACATATGCACCATTTTCAATTCGAATATATTCCTTTTCGATGCGGTAGTGATGTTTCCATGCAACTGCCTCTCCTTAAAATGGTCCTCTCCGATCCTATCTGTTCCTTTTTTATAGTGAACTTCTCGAAAGGGAGTTGGAGAGTGTGGGGATTCGTCTGAACCAACAGAAACCCAACGTCTACTTCAAGGTGATTTCCTTGTCTTCACATCATATCACTGATAAAAAAGCTGGTGGCAACACTCAGATGACGTGTCCCTTTGACTTCATCGTCAAGGGACTTGCTAAAGCTATATTGCCACAGGTTTTCGCTAATGCCCTTTGCAGTGAATGTGCTAACATTTTAGGTTATGCAAATGTGTAACTAACCATTGTAGGGACCATTCCTGCTGAAAGAGGTTTGCGCCATATTTGTTTAAAGGTTCAGCCGTCTCCCATGCACTATATGGGGGTTAATTCCTTAGGATTTCTAAGTGTCCCCAAGGTAGTTGTTAATGGGGTTAGAAGGCACATTATTGGAGGTGTGCTGACTCCTCGGGACTTCCTGATCATCTCACTGGGTATATACAGGTAACATAGCAACAAACATTGCTGAAAGAAGCATCTCTCCGATCATTGATGCTGGTTAAATTACGTTATGTCTAAAATTCTCACAGAATGTTATCTTTGTGATCAAAAGGCGCACTATTGTATGTTTATTCGAGTGTGAAGGGGGACATTGCGCGAAATGAACTTCACTTCTGAGTGGTGTCGCGATTTTCGTTAGTCCGCATCCATTTGTTTCTCCTCTCTATAGCAAAAGAAGACTGGAGGAATGCAAATCAATTCGATGTGTCCGCTGACGCACATCAATGAGAAGATGGTGCAGATGATTCTACACGAGTACAGTATCCTTTTCATATTGCACATTTTCACGTCTTCTTGATGTGGTAAAACTCCTTAACGCCGGTAGAAATCTTCAACGCCGATATGGTCATTCGTGAGGACATTACGCAGGACCAGCTAATCGATGTGATTGTAGGCAATCGAGTGTATCTGAAATGTCTCTATGTGAGTTTTTGGTGTTTACTTCTTATTCGTCAATACTTTTCATAGTTTTGAGTTCTCTAATCTGGAAATGGTAAATTGATGTTTCGATTATTCAATGTACTTTTACTCTCACATTCAATGGTGGGTACGCAGATGAGGAATGTCGCGCTAGAAGTAGTTCATTAATTGACGCATCTTGTATCGGATAGCTACCTAATTTTCTGCGGTCTTCGCTATAGTTTGCTACAAAGGCTTGCTGAAAATTGTCAGCTTTCGGCGATCATGCGACTAAGAGGATGTTATTGAAGGGAGAGCTACACTTCGCTCCTTTACTTTTCTCGTATTTGGAACCAATGGTCATTTGGAAGTTACAGAAGCTTCTTTTATAGTTGCCTGAATAGCGTTTTGTAGACGACGTGGTATGTGAAAGCAGAAATTGCCCTCCAGAAAGGGTGGTGATATATCACAGACAGAAAAGTCCTCTATGCTAGAAAATGCGGAGTTGTGTGCTTCTATTGGTGAAAAAAGTAATCTGGGATTAACGCACCAAGAAAAATTTCGCCTAATGCTTTATTTGTCGATGATGGAACAGTTAGCCTTCACCCACACCGACTGAGAAAGGTGAGGCGGAAGCTACCAAATAGATGTGTGCCGCACTTCTTACATTTTCAGGTGGGATTAAGCTTCAATAATTATCGTTTTCTTCTTTACTCCTTTGCGCGCATTACAAAAATGCTCCCTTTGTATGGTAATTGTTTGCTGGTCCACTTGTAATTAGGCATGGCTGCTGTATTACAGCAATCACTAAACTGACAAGCGTTGTTTTTTACCTTCAAATGATCCCTTCTCTGGCCGTTTCACATTTTCAAGACCCTCAGCACTTCACCCCTGGAAGATTGCGCTGTGTGTGGATGGAATTGTTCACAATCGAATTTTCACCTGATGCCCCAAATAATCACGTCTGATATCTATGTTCCCGATATACCTCAAAATGACTAGGCGTACAAGGAAATCTTTTTCGGGACGAGTCAAAATTAATTAGTCAGTAGAAAGTCCTGTTATTAGGAGACAAAGCAGCGCAAAACCGCGTCAACTGATCCTGAAACTAGAAAATTACGCGAAAAATAGATGGTCGGGAAATACAGCTGAGGTTGCAGTGGAGATGCCTATGATTGGGCTTTTTTACTTCTAGGAGCAAAACTTTTATGAAAATGCAATTAGTGTCAAGTTTGTCTCATTGCGAAAGGGTGGCAACTTGTAATACTCAATGTTTTAATCAATGAATAATTTCTTGAAAGTCTTTTAGAGCTACCTAATTTTATTTATTAAAAACCGTAAGCCCTTTGTCTGGTTATCTTGCAGGTTTCCTTTGAGCTTCCCTTGTGTGTTCTCCACTGGCAAGTTGTACCAAAACGATTCATCTGGGGTGTGTCACCTAGGTCTATACGATACGTTTTAGCAAGGCTATCTTATCCTCTGGTCTTGAGAGATGAAATTGCCTCAATACAACGCTCATCATGCTTGGAATACCTTTTTGTCTTCACTTCTTGTCTGGCGACCTATCTTTGTTACTAAGGTGATCTTTTTGCTTCTAAGATCTTGCTGTGAAGCCTCACTAATCGTTTTTCTTTTTGGGCATAGAGGAGTTTTTTCCTCTTCGTTACTAGATCAATCCATTTGCGTTCACCCCTTTAAAGTGGCATTGACAGCTGTTTCTACTCGTCCCAAAGGAGTAAAAGGTGTTAGATTATTTCCACCATTGTCGCTGAATCGGAATGTAATAAGGTTTACAACTCCAAAAATTGCTTTGTTGTCCACATTCTGCAAGTTTGGGAGATTGGTAAAACAAGGTACTGCAATGTATTGGGCGGAGGGTGTTATTTTTCAAAATTGCTCTTTTAACTTTTGAGCACTTCATCCACTTTAGTGCTCTTCTGCGTTGAGTGCATTTTGTTCACGAAACGGGTTTGTGGTTTCGCCTCATGGGTTTTTAAAGAGTTTTTCTGTCAAGTGATGATGTTTTCGTGGGATGTCTCCTGAGTGCATCTGTCCAAAAACGAATCTTAAATGTCCGGGATATGTTTTTGGCGTTCTGAGTCCGCCCTGAAGCCACAATAAGCCATGCCCGTGTAGCAGGCGAGACTGCGGGCATGACCGAAGGTCCATACCGTTCAACGGAATTGCGTCATGTGGTAAATGTAGATCCAGCGTCGTTAAGCATACGGCTATACACAATATTAAATTAATGTGTGTTAATGACACGCAGATTTCGAAGTCCTTCTGCTGTGTGTTCTTACTTCACTTAATTATGCATAGGTAAAAAAGACCCAAAAACGCTTGGGTAAGCTACTTTGACCATCACATTTAAAGTCTGGATTTGATTCATTTTGATTCAACTCTTCCTCCCCCCAAAGGTGTATAACAAAATCGACCAAATTTCTATAGAAGAGGTGGACAAACTGGCACGCGAACCGCATTCAGTGGTTATCAGGTGAGCGTGATTGGGCTTATTCCGCAACGCGCTGCCATGTAGCTGCAACCTGAACCTCAATCTTGACTACTTACTCAAAGTGTTGTGGGAGCATTTGGATCTTATTCAAATTTACACGAAAAAACAAGGACGTAAGTGCAAGGTCAAGCATATCACAACCCCATTGTTTTGGGCAGCTCGTTCATTTTTTTTTTCCTTTTTCCAGAAAAGCCGGATCTGGATGAGGGTATAATTCTACGAAACGGAGCGACTGTGGAGCATGTTGTAAGCCTCATTTCAGTATTTTAACTTATATTTGATTAATTTTGTTTTGTACGTGCTCTTTTTGTTGTCATAGTGCCATTGCATTCACAGGTCGCTGGCAAGCAATTTCAAGTATGCCCTTGTCTGGGTGAGTTACCTGTCAACTTTTTAATCGACGTTGTCAAGTGTATCTAATTTATAATGTCATTAAGCACAGAATATGATTTTCTAAGTAGAGACTTTTCCAAGTATTTGAATCGGGTCCGCCAAATTATTTATGTGGTCACGCGTCTTCTTAATAAAAGAAATAGCATTTGAAGCAAAATTCCCCTAGCATTTACCCACTACCTTAGCACTGAATATGTTGGTTACTAGGCTCTAAGTTACAATCTTTCATCATAGACCCAATATCTTGTTGCTTCAAAATGACACAGATCATCCTTATTTTGATTTCCTTCCCGATCTACTTGGTTTCCTTTTAATTAAATTCATCAAATTTGTGTGACGTGCGGGCTCAGGTACGCAAAGCTGGGTGACACATATGTGTGACGGTGGTTAGGTGTTAAGGCCGAAATATTTTTCATTTCTGATATATTTGAACGTTTATGGGATATCACGAAATTTCCATAGTAGTTTTCGTATTTTGGAAGTGGTCTATCCATAAAACCTTATTATCTCACCTATCATCCTAAAGGTCATTACTTTGAAGCGTGTCTACTTAAACCTAGTCAGTAGGGCAAGTTGGTGACAATGGCAACTCTCAATATCTAGCATTGCGATAGCCTGAAGTGATACATGGCGGGTTTGCAGACTAAAAATAAGCAATTATTACTGGATGAATTTATTTAATTTCTGTTTTTTTGTTCATTCAGGGAACTAGTGTGAAGTTTAGTCCACAACGCGTGGGTCTTTCAAATGTCGTAAATCATCACGATGTCATTCAGATTGTAAAGAAGTGATTTTTGTCCTGGAGAGCACTACAAATAAATGATCTTGTGAATTCATTTCCTGCTACTAGAAAATGTCAGATTCAGCAGTCACCGATGCTGCCAATTTTATGAAAATCAAAATGTGTTTCATTGATGCATTAGTCCAAAGGCTACTAAGAACTGGTGTTGGTGCAAATCGTTATATTCGAGCACGTACCGCACTCGCTACCGCCGTACCATATGTGTGAGGCGCCAGTGTTTCCTTTTGAACCTCAACGTTGCAAATGCATGATAATTGTTTTGTAATTGCCATTGCACCTAATCGTTTCCCAAACCATTTGGTTGAGTTTGAAACAGTTAATTCGGTCCAACGTTCTCGAGTTAAGACCAGCTACATTTTTCTCTCATTGGTTTGATTGGCCAATTCGGTGGTCCAGGTGTTTGTGCCCTCTTGGGGCTGCGGATGTTGGTCTTTTTCAAAGACCTCGATGACAAATCCACTAACTACCGAATTACGGACGTTAAGTTCAGTTCCGCAAGTCTATAATTGTCCTACTAATCAGAGGCTAAAAGTAATCTAGTAGTCTTGTTGAATTTCATCGCCACTAAGAGCTCAAGAAATTAATGATGGTTCCATTGCAAGTCGCGATAGGTTTTGGAGGTTGGAGAGGCAGGGACATACTTTGAATTGCTCGGGTGTAGTAAAAAAGAGTCTCTCACATGTGAAATTACCTCCTACCTTCTCTGATCGGTAAAGACGATTTGTAAGCTGTGCTTAGAGTACGCTTACACAGACACTCAAGAAGACATTAACTTCCTTGATAAATGATCGACACACGAAGGTAAAAATGACAACAGTGCGTTTAAAAATGCCAAATAAGAAGTGCAATCATTAACTTCAATTGTGAATGCCGAAATGTCATCAGATTGGGCCGTCACCGCCATCATTACCATGGCATGAAAAGAAACACCCAATGTACAAAATGATTGCAGTCATAGCACCGATGTTTTGGTATGACGTCGGACACAGGCTTTACTGCCACCGCCAACATGGGAAGGGCAACGCGGTTTCCGTGAGCATCGAACACCAACGTTTTGTGGAGCTCCCAAATTACTGGATTTCCATGGCGCCACCTGGAGAGCACCATGACCAAATTGGATGGCACGTAGAGTCTCGTCCAGATTCTCCGGTTCACTGCGAACATTCACCAGCACCAGACACTTTGCATCCCCTCCCAGGGTGGGTTTCAGCAGGTAGGTTAACTTCGTCTCCCTGTAGGCCGGTTTGAGACGCTTGCGCAGGGAGTCGAATACACGAGCCAGACAGGAGAGCGACTTGTTGATGCACGTGGCCTCCTGGAAGCGTCGTCCCACCGAGCCCGACTTGCTGACGTTCTCACTGCCAGCCAGGTCGGCGAGAATGAGGGTTCCACGACTCTGCGTCTTGTTGACTGTGTGCTCGCCGGTGACTCGCAGCAGAAGCAGCACGTGAGATCTGGAGCTGTTAGTGTTGAGACGGGTGGCTCCGGTGCTTCGTCGCCTTTCGCCCAATGCGAGCAGTTGCAGCATGTCCTCCTCACTTCCAATGATCTTCTCAGTAAGGTTTTGCAGCACCAGTTCATCCTCACGAGTGGACAGGAGTCGTACCATGGACAGACGTCGTTGTTGTGATGGCCGCGGTTGTGCGAAGCTGTTGCCTGATGTGGTGGTCATGAAGCCGGTTGGACTGAGCTGACGACTGTTAGTGGAGAGGTCGACACTGCGCGCACTCTTGCAATCGCTGATTACACAGTCGCCACCACTCGTCTTGTCCACTGCACCACCAACTAGGAGATCGAAGACCTCCTCCTGGTAGACCTCAAGCATGCTCATCGAGAGCTGGTAGGTCCAGTGTTTGCGAGACTTGCACAGCTGCAGAAGTCGCTGAATTGCTCGTCGATTCACCCCAGGGTCCTGTGCACTACCCACCATGGTGTGCGTCTTCCCACTTCCAGTTTGACCATAGGCCATTATGCAGACGTTGAAGCCGTCCACACAGGAGATGATAGAATCGTCGACCTCCTTGTACACAGCCTGTTGCTGTGCGTCTGGACCAAAGACCCTGTCGAAGATGAAGCACTTGAAGCCGTCGGGATTGGTGGTAGATTTGAGAGACTTCAGAATGGTGGAGGCTCGGCCCAGTAGCACTTCAGGAATGTCGTTCGGGCAGAGGAGCAGCTTGTCGTTGGAGGTGACTTTGAGGTAATCAATGGGATGCTTCCGTGATGGACTGTGCGGACGCACTCGGCAGAGGACGCGAATGTTGCCAGTGATTTCCTGCAGGCGGTTGTGCATATACCGTCGTTTGGCCTCCTCCTCTCGTAGGATCGTTTCCAGCACTGAGAGCTGAGACCGTTGATGGGCTATTTGTTCTTGAATTTCCATTACATTTAGTTCCTCCTGTGAGAGACTCTGCTTGCGTCTGATTTCGACTGGTGGCCCCCGCTGCATGCGTGTGATTCGCTCACGCACTTCTGTGAGTGCTTTGGCGACTTCTGCAATGGCTGTGCGTTGTTCCGCCATGTACTTTCTCAGGCGATCTCGTTGCTCCCTCGCCTCTGTTGTCAGTCGAAATGCCCGATCACGAAATGCAGTCATTTTGTCCGATTGCACACGCAACAACCGACACTGTGCGATGACGTCAAGAATGAAACACACGGAGGCATTGAAACGATGCGGCCAGACATGGGCCTGAGGGCAGACTGTGTGCTCTGCAATGCGATTGGCCAGGTGGGTCACAGGGTCGGCGCCAGCCAGCACACCAATTTGAGTGCTTCTATCGTTTCCCACAGCAATGTTATCCACCGAGTAGCTGGAGAGAAGGCGTTGGGGGAATGTGACATGGTGACTGCGTTGGTTCTGGTCTGCACTAACGTGGTGCAGCAGTTGGTAGTCCTTGTAGAGCAGGTCAACAGCGTCCAGCAGGGTGTAGTAGCGACATTTCCACTGGTGTTTGATGTACCATAAGGCAGCGTCCAGAGCGCTTGGTTTGGCAACTGCGTTCGGGGGTTGCCTGTCAGCACGTTTGCGCAGAACGTCTTCTGCAAACGAGCCAAGACTTTGTTCACAGTTGGACAGTGCTTGGTTACCAGTGAGGTGGCGAGACTTGGCCAGGAGAAGGGGGTAGTTGAGACGATACTTCATAAGATTCAGCGTCGACTGGAGGATGGTGGCTTTGAAGTTCTCTGGTGGCTGATGAGACTGGCCCAATTTGGTGGTGGGTTGTGAGGAGGAGCTCCAATCACTTGGTCGCATGGAGACGGAGCTCACTTCAGTAACGATGGAATCTTCCTCCAGATCGGAAATGAGAGAGCATAGTGTGGAGGAGTTACAAATGGTGGTTTTGTCGGATTGCGGACTGTCGGCAGTGCCATCTGCCTCGTCAGGCTGAGGTGGCGAGTTCTTGTAGGCTTTGCGTGGTTTGTCACAAATTCGCTCAGACTTGGTCGGTTGAGCGCTTTGTGGTCGGAGAAGCTGGGATTGGAAGCACCAGACTAGTGGAGTGTTGGAGGATGACTTGCATGAGGCACCAAAAGTGGAGGATGAAGGCACTGTAAAGGGTGCTTTTTCGTCAAGACTGTGAAGGAGGCCAACTGTGGCACTGTATTCGTGACCGTGACCGTTAGTGTCGTGGCATCTCCCATGATTATCCCTGCATGCCATGATCCGTCTGC